AATGTGATGCAAAGGTTTGTTAAAAGTAGTTTTAAATAAAAAATCTTTTGAATCTTTTTATTATAGTTTGTTTTAAACTTGTGTTAAAAATATGTGTAGCATATATTTTTAAAAGTTTGACAAATTCTAATCAGACATAAAATAAATCTTTTTTTTTTATGTCTGATTATAATTTTTTTTGTAACTGTTCTCTTACTTTTGTATTTCCTTGAGCTAAAGAACAACCTTAAAGTACAAAGGTTGATTTGTAACGCATACTTAACCTTTTTTTTTACTCTATACATACATACATACATATATATGCACATAAATAAACATACATATATATGTATGTATATATACATACATATGCTTATATGAATATATTATATATATATATATATATATATATATATATATATATATATATATATATATATATATATATATATATATATAATAACGGTGCAATTTAAAGTTTTTTCTTTTATTTATAAAGTTGTATTTGATAAAAACAAATAGAGTTAAACATTTTGAATATTTATTGATTATTATGATAAATTATATAAAATATATATAAAGTATAAATATTTTGCAAAAACAATTTTTTTTGCAATAACTGCTTCATTGCATTGTGGCATGCTTGCAATTTATTTTTTATAGTTTCTGTCAACTCTGGGTTATTAGGCTAGATCTTGATAATCTCTTCCATAAGATCTTGCTTATTAGTAAGATTTTTTTTTCCAATCTCTTGGTTTACTATTTCCCAAATGTTTTCTATGGGGTTAAGATTATGCGAGTTGTCTGGCTATAGCAATATATCAACTAAGCCATAACAGTTTTTATTGTGTGGCAAGTTGCACCATCTTGCATAAATATAAGATTTTTGACATTATTTTTAAATTTTTTTGTCAATTTTTGACTTTTTTGGCTGGACATCAATCCCTCTTCTTTTAGCCTTCTACAAATGGTCCGGTCTGACACAACAACTACAGCTTCATGGATAAGCTTAGTGGCTTTTTTTCTCTTTTCCAGGCAGATATTTCTGATTATACTGTCCGCTCTTGGTGCTTTGCGTTTAGAAGGTGGTCTCCTTGGACCAAACTCTTCCCCTGTATCAATTCTTTTTCTTGCTTGCATTACGGTTTGGTAAGAAACCTTTGCGGTTTGTGCAATTTTTCATTGAGAATAATTTGTATTTTGTAAAAGACATGTTTATCAATTTTTAATGTAACTATAATGATAATAATAACAATGTATAATGCAGGTTGTTAACCAACGGTTTATAATCAAAATTTAATATGGCTGGCGGTAAAGGTAAAGAGAAGTTTAAAGGAATAAACATTAGGTATTTACTTGTAAGTTAAGTGTGAAATTATATATTTTTTAAAAATCACAGTTCGTTTTTTTAATGCTAATTTATTTTTTTAACTTTTTGATGTAT